CACTTCGTCACATTTCAAGTTAGTCGATTAGATATGCGTCCTCACATCCCCAGTTGGGTGGAGCAATCTAAGTTGCAGGTCCCTAGCGAGCAGGACTCAGCTACAGTATGCCAGCTGCGTGATAAAGCCTTCTTGCACAGCAATAGTACGAGGGGGGTGCCCCGCGTCACGTGTTGAACACTTCATGCACCGAACCAATGACAGCTCAGGGATTACACCGGGATCACGTGGCGTACCCTTCCTGCACGGAACCAATATCAACTCCAAGTGCGTCTCTCTTTCACACATGAGGAACTGCCACCTGGATGAGGTTGGTGGGCCTGCAGGTGAATGTAATACCTGGTGGATACCTGCCACGTAATTACTACCAGACATCTTTCTCCTTCCTTCCTTCAAGGTGAACCTCTTGCTCTTTCTCATTTAGGCATGATCACCTTATAGACCTTTTCAGTAGCAATCACGTTATCTAGTTTCACTACGCAACGCTCCCTCTCCCCCACCAGGGACTAACAATAACAATTACTAACATTATCACCACTATCATCAACAACCATCGAACACGACTACCACCAACCACCACTAACAGAGAGCAGTTGTTGAGCAGCACTCAGATGATGATAGTGAGAGGCCACGTTACTGACTGGCAGACATGGGAGGGTAGATCAGGGGAACCAACCGGTCAGGAGTGAATTGGTGGCCATGACGTAGTTGAGTGTGTGCCCTCACCTTCCTGTACCTATGGGAAGTGAGTTTCAGCTCTCGGGCGCCACCTCTCAACCTTTGTTATACTGATATACACATCCCTGAACCCCTACAGTGTTATTATATATTTTTTACTCATGTGTGGGGTCTGCCTCAACAACTTGATTTTCTGGTTAATTTCACATATTTACGATTCTAATGCTGAAAAAGGTCAATATCATCTCTGGAACTTTGTGTGTATGTGTGTGTGTGTGTTGTGTACTCACCTAGTTGTGTTTGCGGGGATTGAGCTCTGGCTCTTTGGTCCCGCCTCTCAACTGCCAGTCAACTGGTGTACTGATTCCTGAGCCTACTGGGCTCTATCATATCTACATTTGATAGAGCCTCCACCACATTACTGCCTAATGCATTCCCCTTGTTAACTACTCTATAGTATACTGCTCTATAGTGATATCAACCCCGAGATATATATGTATATATATATATATATATATATATATATATATATATATATATATATATATATATATATATATATATATATATATATATATATATATATGTATAAACTGAAAACGTAAACCAAACTGGTTTATTTGAACCATTTATTTATTTAGAGGCCCATCTCTTTATATATGATCCCCATTTCTTTATTTGAGACCCATTTCTTTATCTATGAGACCCATTTCTTTATCTATGAGACCCATTTCTTTATCTATGAGACCCATTTCTTTATTTATTACACCGGTTTCTTTTGCATGCAACCCGCGCTTCGCCTCCCCACTAGAAAAGTTTAAAAAGATATAAACAATAAAATTGCATTGATCTTGGCTTCGATGATTGCCTGACGGGATTAGACTTCTCCACCCTTAAGGAAACAAGGAGCGGTTGGGACATGATAACAACATGCAAGATTTAAGAGGAATCAGCAAAGCCGAAGAAGACGATCAATAATGGTATGAAGTTGAAAATCAATCAATCAAATATTAAGAACATTTATGTCAATTCAAATAAGGACACACACACACACACACACACACACACACACACACACACACACACACACACACACACACACACACACACACACACACACACACACAGATTCAGAGGATTCAGATTAGAAGATTCAGCGGTATGCCACCAGGCTCGTCCCGGAACTGAGAGGATTGAGCTACGAGGAAAGGCTAAAGGAGCTGAACCTCACATCCCTGGAAAACAGAAGAGTAAGGGGAGACATGATAACCACCTACAAAATTCTCAGGGGAATTGACAGGGTGGACAAAGACAAACTCTTCAGCACGGGTGGGACACGAACAAGGGGACACAGGTGGAAACTTAGTACCCAGATGAGCCACAGAGACGTTAGAAAGAATTTTTTCAGTGTCAGAGTAGTTAATAAATGGAATGCACTAGGAAGTGATGTGGTGGAGGCTGACTCCATACACAGTTTCAAATGTAGGTATGATAGAGCCCAGTAGGCTCAGGAATCTGTACACCAGTTGATTGACAGTTGAGAGGCGGGACCAAAGAGCCAAAGCTCAACCCCCGCAAGCACAATTAGGTGACAATTAGGTGAGTACACACACACACGCAGACTTAAACACAAAAGGGTGAGTGAAGACACACGCAAAATTAGGATATTAAAAGCATCACGAGTAACTACTCAGATCCTCTCCTACCTGGAGAAGATAAACGCGTTTAATTACCTAAAAGCCTAAGAGGAATTTTCCCTCCATTTTCACTGCCTTCATATTGTGTCTTTAAGTGACTCAGGTACGTTTACGCAACCATAAGTTGTGCGTGTGTGTGTGTGTGTGTGTGTGTGTGTGTGTGTGTGTGTGTGTGTGTGTGTGTGTGTGTGTGTGTGTGTGTGTGTGTGTGTGTGTGTGTGTGTGTCCCCTGCACGCAAATCGAGCTCGGTTTGTGTACCGCCTGTTCAGACCACTGCACCGAAGAACTAACTTAATGCAATAAGGCCATTAGGATATTTGGCTTCATGCTCGGTAAACATTTGCAAAACTAATAATAATTATAATAATACTATACCATACCTTCACATTGCTCACTTGGACCTCGCTTGGAGTGCATCAGGATGGGTTTAACCACAACACTTCAAACTGTATATAAATTCTCTTCAAAAACATATATCGATGAGATATAAGGTCTATCTTCTGAATCAGAATACTTACAAAGACTGATGATACGATTTTCTTCAGTACAACTGAACGTGGAGAATGGATGAAATATATAGACGGTTGAAATGCATTAACAATACGAGGTGTTATAGGTATCGAATCAAGGTAAAAGTCGTCATAATTTATTAAAATTGGAGACATTTAGATTATAAAGAAAACAAGCAAGTGTTATTAATTGGTGAACTAGTTGAATAAGTCACTGAAAAAGCATAAGTAAAGCAGATACCTTGAATTGAGAGAGAGAGAGAGAGAGAGAGAGAGAGAGAGAGAGAGAGAGAGAGAGAGAGAGAGAGAGAGAGAGAGAGAGAGAGAGAGAGAGAGAGAGAGAGAGAGAGAGAGAGAGAGAGAGAGAGAGAGAGAGAGACTTAAAGCTCTTCACCCCCCTGAAACCCCCCAGCATACCCCATGACCCCTTAGCACACTCCAATTACTTGGGCAATGTAGGAAAAAACAACAATTGCCCCTGTTTACAGCGAACACCTCTGCAGTTAAGCATGTTTTGCAGCTGCTCTACAGCACACAAGAGAGAGGTTCCCTATACCAAAATAAACTCCAGGAAGGTAGAAAGACAAACACTCATCAGTGGGCTCCGGCTGCATAGGACTGAGCTGGCTTGTTGGAGCTGGAAATGGAGAAAGAATAATTGAGAGAGATGGAGGCTAAATATGGCTGTAAAGGGGCTTATGAGGAAAGGTGATGTGGATAAAGAGAGGAAGAGAAGCAGCATATGGGGTTGGAGATATGTGAAGAAGGCTGGACAATTGATTGGAGGTTCTGTAATTAGATGGAAAGGTACAGAGAGGAGCAGATAGAGCTGGAAAGAGATCTGCAAAGGAGATAAAAGCCGAAGCAAGGTGTGGAAAGGAGTTGAATGAAGCTAGAGAGAAGTGTATTTAACCTAGATAAAGGTCTGGATGAAGCTAGAGTTTGAGCTGATAAGGAGCTGCATGAAGTCAGATAGAGATGGTTAAAAGGCTGGATGGAACTGAAGAAACGTTTGGAAAAAGACTGAAGGAGAAGAGTTGAACTCTGGGCTTGACGAAGCTGCAGAGGATGCTGATTACTTCCTAGTGTTGAATAAACAATATCGTCGCTCGGTCACGAGTGTAAGTGCAACTCAAACACATGAAACTAAATCTTTCATAAGCTTCTTAAAGCTGTCGGTGTTGTGATTCTCTTGTGTATGTGTGTGTGTGTGTTCTCACCTAGTTGTGCTTGAGGGAGTTGAGCTTGAACAGTATGTGTGTATGTGTGTGTGTTCACACGATCTAGTTTTAGCGCCTTTGCCTCCGACCTGCTAGTTATCGGTCGGATAATCCAATTAGTCTCACAATTCTTGTATCATTATAATCGTGCAATATATGCAACAGTATTTTATTATTTATAGCAGCGGCGGTTCAGGCAGGTAACATAACGGACCCAAATAGGTTATCTAAAGCGATGGTTTCATCGGAAATAATCCGCCATTAGATTTACATCCCAATGCTAATTACTGCTGAGATTACGCGATCAAACAGAGTGAAGAAAATAAAAAATCCTTCTACACAGCCCTGGCTTCGAACCTAGACTGCTTCAAGGGCAAGACGAGTGTGCTAGCCAACGCACACAAGTTAATCAATTTTCCATCCTCATATTATCTTTCCACCTCTACTACATTGCATGTCGAGGCGTGACTACTTTTTACTTATGTACTTTGTCAACTTAGAGGCAATCCAATCTACTATGGATCCTGCTGTAGTTAGCAATCGTGTTTCTAATTCAGTTACTTCTGAACCTTTCTTTTCAATCATATCTGATTTTGAGAACATTTTCTGGGCTAGTGTTAACTGTATCTCTATGCTATTCCAGTTCTTCATTACAGACAGACAGACAGACAGACAGACAGACAGACAGAAAGAGACAGGGATACGGGGATATAGGCTGGTAGGAAATACTCAACCGTCTCATACAAGCGGTGTTCGGAGCCCCTCTTGCTTGCCCTCTCGTTGCCTCCTTGTTTTGCTTGACACACAAGCAGTCAACAGAGGCATTTTTTCCAGCTGTTGAGCGCCTAACAGGGCGGTAACGAGGGTTTCTCCTGCCTGGCACTCGTACACCAACATGCTGCCTCTCATACTGTCACACCAACATGCTGCCTCTCATACTGCCACATGCTGCCTCATACACTTCCACACCAACATGCTGCCTCTCATACTGCCACACCAACATGCTGCCTCATACACTTCCACACCAACATGCTGCCTCTCATACTGCCACACCAACATGCTGCCTCTCATACTGTCACATGCTGCCTCAGACACTGTCACCCCAACATGCTGCCTCTCATACTGCCACACCAACATGCTGCCTCATACACTTCCACACCAACATGCTGCCTCTCATACTGTCACACCAACATGCTGCCTCATACACTGTCACACCAACATGCTGCCTCATACACTGTCACACAAACATGCTGCCTCTCATACTGCCACACCAACATGCTGCCTCTCATACTGCCACACCAACATGCTGCCTCATACACTGTCACACCAACACTGCCTCTCGCCCTTATAAGAAACACGGCCTGACGATTTTTTGTAAGTCTCGAAAATGATTTGAGACTATAATCTTCCTTTTGGATATTTCTATTTAACGGTCTTATATATATGCAAATATTGTTCACGTCACACCCTCTTGATGGATGGGGTCTTTCTAATTTATGGTAATTGTTGCTAATGCAAGGAAATGTTAATGTTGACGCAAAGAAGTGTTGAACTTGGCGCAAGAAAATATTGAAGTTTAAGTAAAGACGTGTTGATATTGATGCAAGAAAGTGACGTAGAAGAATCTGGGACTGAATTAAATACACTATATATAACGAAACTTGAAAATATTTGTAGTTTGTGCAAGGGGACTGCAACTGAAAGCGTTTTCAGATATAAAATTTAGTAAGATTTGCAACAGTGAATTCACTGAATTCTGAGTTGCAAAAATTTACAGGTTTTAACGCGAACCTTTGACAGCTCTAGTAAAAGCAATAGCAGCTCCAGTGGCAACAACAGATACAACAGCAGCCAAAACAGTAACAGTAAATGAGCAGCAGTGTCAGGAGCAACAACAGACGCAACAGAATACAACCACATAATAATTAAAGCAACAGAAGTATCAACAACAGCAGCAGCAACAACAACATCAGCAGCAGGATCAACATCAGCAGCAGGACCAACATCAGCAAGAATACCGTTATACAATCAAGGTACATATTCAACATCTCTAAAACGTCCACACGTTGAACATGTTGGGCAGGGAACACCCTAACAATGTCTTGTAATAAGTAGCATTTAGAAGTAACTAATAAACTCGCTACTTAGGAAATATTATTTTCTATGCCCTTTTAGAAAATTAAATTATTTAGCTTAACCAATTTTAATTTGATTTACATATATTTTTTAACATCCAGGCAATCCCTGAGACTAGTAAGAGTGTACGCAGCCCCAACATTAAATTTTCTCATCGTAAAACGTAAGTTTAAAATTGAAACTTTTTTTGGTTTGAAAGAAGAAAAATGCCAGCGTGAAAAGGACTTGGGGCAGGAGATTAATGGGACTTGAACCTTACGTCATTGGAAAAAGAAAAACGAGACGAGACATGACCACAACGTACAAAGTACTTATGGATCTAGGCAAAGAAGACAAGGAGACTCATTTTAGTACTCGCGGCAATGGAAAGAGAAACCTATAGCGAAAATTGTAAGCCAAAATAAACTAATTAATGCACAAAACCTTTCTTATTTAAATCGACAACTAATTTCAGAGAAACAGCGCCTTACTGTATGATACATTACGGTCACATAAAAATAATTGGTATAAAACTTGGTTATCAACAAATTCTTGCTAATTAAACATGCAAGGACGTTCCACTGAATATTTGTCACATTAGTGATATATCCACATTCTATATCATGTGATTAAACCAGGCATAACAGTGCCAAGGATAGCGCACAGTGCTAAGTGTAGCACACAAAGCCGTACAAAACACAATTTCACACATATAATACACAGAGCCTCCGCCCCCCCCCTCTCTCTCTCTCTCTCTCTCTCTCTCTCTCTCTCTCTCTCTCTCTCTCTCTCTCTCTCTCTCTCTCTCTCTCTCTCTCTCTCTCTCTCTCTCTCTCTCTCTCTCTCTCACCTTTATATCTTCCTCCGTCCCCAAGCATTTATCATCTGAGAATTCCATCAAATATCACAGAGGTCTCGTGCTATTCACTATCTCCAAGAGACAAGAGGGACAGTCTCCGAGTTCATAGTAAACAAACGGAGCAACGCAAACACGCTCGGAGCTGTGTGAGTCGCGGAGGATAGATACAGGAATCCCAGTGGATACACGCAAGAGTCCCAGTGGAAACATACAGGAGACCAAGTGGATCTACACAGGAATTCTAGTGATTTCACACAGACACACAGGAGTACCAGAGAACTCCTGTTTGTAAACATAGGTTTCATGATAAAGCGATAATAAAGCTTAGCACTAATAAAAGACAGAAGAACTACACAATGAAACAGGAAATATGTAGAGAAAAGAGTACTGCTCAACAAGAGAGAGAAAGCAGAGTAGCAGCAGAATGGGAGCCGGTCGGCCGAGCGGACAGCACGCTGGACTTATGATCCTGTGGTCCTGGGTTCGATCCCAGGCGCCGGCGAAAAACAATGGGCAGAGTTTCTTTCACCCTATGCCCCTGTTACCTAGCAGTAAAATAGGTACCTGGGTGTTAGTCAGCTGTCACGAGCTGCTTCCTGGGGGTGGAGGCCTGGTCGAGGACCGGGCCGCGGGGACACTAAAAATCCCCGAAATCATCTCAAGATAACCTCAAGAATCTCAAGAAGACGTTGATGAATCAAAAGAATCAAACTAGCACGAAAATTATAGAGGAAAACTATTTAATAAAAAACAGAGAAAATGTCACATAATATTTATATGGAATATTTAAGCTTGCCCACACCTACAACCTCAACATGAAGAGAAGATCAATGTTATCTAAAAGAAAAAGTGAGCAATTCATTAGTAAAACTGCTTAAGGCATAGTCACTGGTGGTCAAGAATAGAAATATATGTTCGAAATATCTCAATTCAGATTTTGCAATAGTTTATAAAGTAATTTGGCAAACAATTATGTTAATATTATTGCTATAGTTGCACTGGAGTTGTTGTACAAGTAGCAGTTTTATTAGTATTGCTAAGAAATCTATTTGTAATAATAATATTAGCATTCTTACTGAATGTAGTAGGTACGCACATACACACACACACACACACACACATATCCAGGAGTCAATGCTCGATCCTGCAAGCACAAATAGGTGAGTACACACACACACACACAGAAAGACGTGGGGGTTGATATCACGCCAGACCTGTCCCCCGAAGCACACATCAGGAAGATAACATCAGCAGCATATGCCAGGTTGGCCAACATAAGAACGGCTTTTAGAAAATTGGGTAAAGGATCATTCAGAACCTTGTATATCGTATGTCAGATCAATCCAGGAGTATGCAGCTCCAGCATGGAGTCCATATCTCGTTAAGCATAAAACTAAATTGGAGAAGGTTCAGAGGGTTGCCACCAGACTAATGCCCTAACTGAGGGGGCATGAACTATGAGGAAAACTACGGGAATTGAACCTCACGTCGCTGGAAGGCAGGAGAGTTAGGGGGAGACATGATTACCACATACAAGATTCTCTGAGGAATGGATAGGTTAGACAAAGACAGTTAATTTAACACAAGGGGCATACTCACTAGGGTACACAGGTAGAAATTGAGTATTCAAATGTGCCATAAAGACATTAGAAAAAATTTATTTAGTGTCAGAGTAATGAATAAAGGGAATGCATTAGGAAGTGATGTGGTGGAAGCAGACTCCATACACAGTTTCAAATGTAGATATGATAGATCCCAATAGTCTCAGGAACCTGTACACCTGTTGATTGACGATTGAGAGTAGGACCAAAGAGCCGAAGCTTAACTCCCGAAAGCAAGACTAGGTGAGTACAACTAGGTGGGTACACCTCCACTTGATAAAAAACAGAAAGACCTTACATATAACATTCCACCAGATCAACAAACATGAACTATAACAGCAGCATACGTGGAGATAGTGAACTTCAGGAGGGTCCATCGGAAACCTGCATAAGGTAGCTATATGAATGGAATGTATTACATGAAGCCAATGCTTCATATAAAAAAATCTCGGGGTATATAAAACCCCGAGATTGAAACTTCAAAAAGCTAGCACCAAATTAGAGAAGGTACAGTGCTTGTTACATGACTTGTCAATGATCTAAAAGGCGTTACATACAGAATCTAAGATAACTAAGATAACACGATCTTACTACAATGTAAATGTTAAGGAAGATAGGCGAGATGGTCGATACGTACAAGATTCTCACAGCTATTGAGATTTATGAGCAGATTCAATTGAATTACAGGATAAGATAGGCATTATAGATGTTACCTTGATGCTAATCTGTGTTACCTTGATGCTAATCTGATGTGGTTCAGAGGATAAGTGTTTCTGCGACTCAATCTCTGATCCTAATGAATCATTAGAAAACATTTGTTTATTATGAAGTGTTAACATGAGGAATGGTTAAAAGGTTCGGCTGAATTACATTCATGGCTTAAAATCTGATAAAAGGAATACGAGATGTAGTCATTGCATCAGAGGATCGACAACAGAAGAGGCGGGGCCCAAGGTCTGAAGTTCATAGCACAGGCACATTTAGGTACGGAGCACAACCACACACAGCACACAACTAGACAAAACACTTCAATATACAGGATAAATACACATCACGCATGAACTCTCACACACACACATACACGACACTCCAAACACAGGACAACATGCTGCAGAATTACACACAATTCTGTCATACACCTTACACACAACCCAACAGAAGGATATACACAATCACACGCAACACAACCAGGACACAACACAGCCACTTACAACAACACCATTCTCAACAACATTCAATACACACAATGCAATCACCACCACATACAATACAACCACACAAAACACCACATACAAAAAATAACCATTCACAAGATACTCGCAGGATTCACCCCAAACCAACCACACACAGTACAAAAATAGCAAGTGCAATTACACACACACCCAACACACCCACACACACACACACACACAACAAGGCACAAATTCTCAGTACACACACACACACACACACACACACACACACACACACACACACACACACACAACAACCACACTCATACGAAGTCACAACAACCCAATACAAACACCCAACACACACACACAACACAACCACAAAAAACACCATCACTGAGCACAAAACTCACGCCGCCTTTCCTAGACACAGCAGCAAAATCATTTTTCTGCTTGCGAGAGTAAACAGACATGTTCGTTTGCTGCCCCCAGAGTGGACAAGCTCGGCAGATGACAGTCCCACTATTTGAAAGTCTAATTTGCCGTTTTCCTTCGTGTTTGAAAGAACTGGGAAAGAATACGAAAGAAAAGTTTGAAAGAAATG